TCTCTCTCTCTCTCTCTCATTCAGGAGGCAGGCTCCCTCGAAAGAGTCCCTGAGTTAGGCAGTCCCTAACATTTTTCTTTTAGGTTAACCAAAAACCAAACCAGTACCACCGGTTTTTGCAAAACACCGAACCAATCAGGTCAGCTAATCAGATTTTTCAGTTCGGTTTTTGTTGAGCACCCCTAGTTGAAAGGGACTCGAAGCGGATTCAGTGATATGGTGTTATAGCGACAAAATGAAGAAGTTCAATTGGGTATCAAGAAATATGAATCTGGTTATACAATGGGTGGGGAGGGAGGCAAATGCATTGGCTGGTTCCTTAGCTAAGCAGGGGGTACTTAGGGATCAGTTCTACTGGGCTCAATTGTAATTTTTTGTTGTACCTTCTTTTAGAGTGATTGCACCTTGTGCCTCTCCCTGGGATGCTTTTACCAATGCTTATCTATATTGATTTATTTCAATGAATTTTTACTTATAAAAGAAACACTGGATGGTAGATGCTTCATTAGCCAAATTATGTAATTCTTTCCCCACATTTACAGAAAAAAAAATGCAAAGTTGGAACAGTAAAAACAAGCTGAACATGTACCATTATGACACAATTATTTCAAGCTGCTGAAGATGTGAAAACCCAAAGTAATATGTATTAGCTCGTATCCACCTCCCAGTTTCGTGTGATTTCCAAGAACTTTTAGAGTTTAGACCCTTTTATTTCTTCTAGAAAATTTGAGAAATTTAAGTTAGACAAAAGGAAAAAAAGATTAATTTACTAACCTTGCAGCATCACAACAGTCATCAGTAATAACAGGTGCATCATCCATATTGCCATTTATGACTTTTTCACTCTCAATTGAACTTTCTTGGTACCCTTTCTTATGCATGATCTGTCAACCAAAAACAAAGTTACTGATCCGAGCAATCAAAACTAAGAAATTTCAAGGAAAAACTAAAACAAGAATTCAGAAAGGTATGGATGGCCAACTCAAGATCAGTATTGCATGGAGACAAACACAAGAATCAAGATATGACACACATGTCTGGGAGTCTGACTTGGTATTTCGCAAAAAGGAAAAAAAAAAAGATCCATGGAGAAATCCATAGAAAAGTATAAATTATTAAAAGAGTCCATTATTTTTTTGAATTTTAACACTATATACCTATAAAAAAGATTTGGAACCTTTTCTTTATAACTTAGTAACGGTTCCTGGAACAAAAGTGTCATTCATTTTGGACATTAGTTATTCATTTATGTCTATAAGCAAGTAGACAGAGAAAAGTGTTAATGTTGAAGGTTCCATCAAGAATCTACAGAATGTCCCAATCTCACATGTCTTTGACATGGACACTTCATCCGCTAGTCCATGCAACAGTGCTCAAAAGCACTGATTCAAAGAATAGTTTATGGAGAAAAATTCTGTATATTTGAACAATAAACAAAAAAAGATAAGATCTATAACATGAAAATGGACTTCATTTTGGTTTAGGAAAAACGTTCTTCTTCAATCTTACATTAAGATTAGAAGTACTAGCAGACCCATGTCATCGAGATATTGGGAACCAATTTCAGAATCAACATTTTAAAGCAAGGAATAGCAAAATTCAAGCTGCAAACCCACTTAATATAGCAGCTAATAAACAAAATAACTGGAGCATAAAGTAACAAACCAACGAGATAGAGAAGCATGAACTTTGTCATCACCCTTCTTTTGGACATTATCACAAAAATGTTATGAGGAACCGGATTAAAATTCATTGCATATGAACCCAGCTTAACAAAATCCAACCAAAAACAGTCTTTCTCCATGCATATGTGTATAGATTTATATTGGCTGTCTATCAACGTTGATTAATTTCATGCTTCCATGCACGAGTCACGTGTACGAGAAAAATATCAATTGCTCGTATGAACTCTTCAAAGAAAACCAGAAGAAGAAGAGGAATGAAGGTACCCACTAAATATTAACCGGAGAAATTTGAAGCTTTCACCAGTACGGAAAGATTAAACGCACATGTTATGATAGAGTGAACGAAATGTACCTTGTATTTCGTAATGGCGTTATTGAAAGCGTTAATGAGAGCAGAGTCATCCCAAATATCACTTTCCTTGCTCATTTCGTCTCCCGCAGATTTCGAAAGATTTCCCGCTGGCACGATGGAGCTTCAACAGCGGCGAGCAACGCAGACGATGACCTAACTGGTCTCACAAGTCATGACTCACAACAGAAGCGATTTAGGTTCAGTGAACGCGACTTACAAACGCTGAAGGCTAGAGTCGGTGTTTGTAACAAATATCGTTTTCTAAGGGCGTTTTTTCAGAAAACGGTGAGCAATATGTATGGTGTTATTTTCAAAAAAAAAAAGAGGTTTTTTCGGATTTTCCATTTGCCATAGCGCCATGGGCTGTGTCGTCCTCCCCGGTAGAAATTTTGGGAGTCGGCCGGCACAGCCCACGTGGGCCTGTGCCGTGCCTGGGCCAGACCAGGCTGCAAGTCGTGTCGTGGTTTTGGGTTGTGCTAGGCTGGGACACAGGGCAGGCCCGAACCGGGCTGCACTATTTTTTTTTCTTTTTTTTTTTATTTTTTTTGAAAATTTTGATTTCTTTTCTAAGTAAACTTATAAAACTAAAATATTTAACTTCGGGAATTGGGAACTATTTAAAAAATTAAGAAATGAGAAATCTAAGTTATTTAACACGTAAATGAAAAAAAAAATATTTAACCAAAATGAAATAAGAATGATGGAATAATAAATTGGAAGAAAAATAAGAATTTTATTACATTTAAATTTGAATGGTTACAAATTAGTGAATTACAAATACAATGATTAGATCATTGCATACTTGGATGAATAAAATATAAAAATGGAATAAATTAATAAAACATAAAAATACAATATGGTTACAAATTGAAAATACAAAATTACATTGTTAAAAATTCAAAAAATATATCAAATAAATTAAAAAAATAAAAAAATTTTAATAATTTTAAAAAAATAAAAAATTCTATACAAGTACTCAAATTCATGAATCATCATTCATGACTTTCATCATCTACTTCGGGTGAAATGTCCGGTGTTGTATTATGCCCTCCATTGTCTTGTAATCTATCTTCTGCATCACGCCAACCCTTGAAGCAGACGTACATCTCTATACTCTCATCGTTCATGTAGCTTCTTTTGTCATCCAACACCCTAATACCTGCACTAAAACAAGACTCCGATGGGATTGTAGACACTGGAGGGATTAGTAGATCACGTGCCATGGCAGCGAGAACTGGATAATTTTTTGAGTGTTCACTTCACCAGGCTAAAATACCAAAATTATTTGATACTTCACCTAAGTTATAAAATTTTGCTTGTAAATAAAAATTAAGTTCAGTAAATGAACTTGTTGTAGAWSTAGCARATTTCTGCCTTCTATTTATTAAATAAAAAAGTTTTTCTCTTCTACTATTGGGCACAAGCCTACAACTTTAAATTCATACAAACTGTATATTTCAAATAATAAATTATTAATTTATTCTTTTTTATTTCTGATATCAATATTCATATTTTCACAATATCTTTCAAATAAAATATCTAAACCATCTTTCCTAATCCTAGGGTCTAATATTGTAGCTAAACAATAARGGGGAGAAATGTTCTCCMARTAYTTTTWAAATTTAYTTTCYATAATTTCAACAATACATTGAAATTGTGGATTATTTCTATATTTAGCAAAGCAATCACTAATTACCATTA